CATCACCAGCATCACCAGCATCACCACCACCACCACCACCACCACCACGACCTTCACACTCATCATTGCCATCATGATTATTCTGATCCCTGTCATCCTCTGCAGCGCATTTCTTAATAATTCTTGATCATCTCGAAGATCTTGTCACATCTTTATCAGTGATCATCGTCGTCGTCATCGTCATCCTCACCGTCATCATCGTCATCATCGTCATCATCGTCATCATCGTCATCATCATCATCATCATCATCACAGTAGTTGTCATCATCGCAATCGCAGCAGCAGATGTGGTGGCAGGCGAGGTTCCGAGCCGCCACGGCGCAGCGAGGCAGAAACCAAGCGAGCATCCGTACCAACAGTTGTGCATCCGAAACCTAGCGAGGAAAGAGCAGTCATTTCGCGACAGTGAAAGTGCGCAGTTTCTGAGCAGGTACTTCAAGAGGTGTGTTTGTGGACCCACATTCAGGAACTGCTCACAGCCTTGCTTCCCAATGTTTCTCCAGTGGCAGGCTGCAGCATCCTCGGTCAAGAGGCTGGCGGCGATGTGTGGAGTCTGGTCTGGGCCCCTAAGCGGTCACGTTTCTTTGTTGAAGGCCGCGTGGCTCGGGGGGTGCGGAGGCCAGCAGCTCAGTCTGTCTGAGTCGAAGAGCACTGCAACCTGTCTTGCCAGCAGGCTTGTGATCTCCGATTAGATGATCCAAGCCACGAGAAGGAGAACAGCAAAGCGAGCAAACGTGACTGACCTTTAAAGCAGGGCGTGGCAGACATGCAGACGGAAGGATTTTCATTCTGAGTGCGCGGTTGGTATGCGGCTTTGAATGGAATGAGACCGTCACTGCTGCGAGGAGCTTCCAAGCTCGTCGAGCACAGCGCTGGGCTCGTCAGCATCCTCGACCTCCCAAGAAGAGAAGGAGCGCGAAGCCCGGACCAGCTTCAGCTGACATCCCAGACAGTAAGTTCAACCTCAACCGGCAGCAGGAGCTGTGGCGGTGAAGGAACTTCAAGCGTGCCTGAAAGCTGTGAAAGAAGCCCAGGCCAACCTTCGATGGATTGCGCCGGACCGACCTTATTCGCTTGATCGGCCAAGTGCGCACCTGATGGGAGGGTTTTGGCGCGGCGTGCTTTGCACTGCGCCGCCCGTCCAGGCGCTTGGAGATTTGGGCCTCGAAGTGACCCGGGCGGCCTTAGAGACGGAGTCTGGATCCGAGTCAAGCTCCGAATCGGATGACACGTGTAGACCCTAAACACAACCAGCCGAAGCCCCCCTGCATACCCATAGGTGACCATAGAAGCGCAGCCCTGAGGCTCTTTTTCCTGCTGTGGTAAGAGTTCCAGAAAACGCAGCCCGCACTGTAGCAGGACTCTGGCGTGAGCACATTTTTTTAAATTGGAGGCGCAAGTACGAGTCGCAGTCAAAGCATGCACGGTGCTGCGCCAGCACGATCTCGGAAGGCAGACATGCACAGGGCTGTGGCCGGAAGACGATGCGCGCACCAAGACAGGCACGGCACAGTGGCGGGAACTAGCTTTCGACTTTCCAAAAGCGATAACCGATAGCTTCGAAGACAAAACTGAGCACGTGACTACCAAGGCCACGAGTTCCGCCCCACAAACACCCCAAACGACGCAATGCATGACAAGGCACTGCGCGATTCGTCAAGGTAGCAGGCTAAGTTGTAACTTGTTTTTTCTCACAGATGTATCTTTTTTCCTCTTGGATGTAGCCTACCCCACCTACCCCAACTACCCCACCTACCCCACCTACCGTACCTACCCCATCTACCCCATCTACCCCATCTACCCCATCTACCCCACCTACCCCACCTACCCCACCTACCCCTACCGCACCTACCCCTACCGCACCTACCGCACCTACCCCACCTACCCCAGCTACGCCACCTACCCCACCTGCCCCACCTACCACCTACCCCACCTACCCCGCCTACCGCCACCACGCTCCTGCCCCACCTACCCCGCCTACCCCCCCAACCCCCGCTACCCACAAGACGAAAACCCTCATGGGAATCCACCCAAGACGAAAACCCTAAGGAGTGAATTCACCAGGAAACTTTTACCGAAGACGAAAACCCCAAGGAATGAATCCAGCACGAATCTTTTCCAAAGACAAACACCCTCGGGAGTGAATCCAGCAGGAGCCTTTTGCCGAAGACGGAAAACCCTAAGGAGTGAATCCAGCACGAACCTTGGAAAAGACGAAAATCCTGACGAGTGAATCCAGCAGTAACCTTTTACTCAAGCTGAAAACCCCAACGAGTGAATCCAGCAAGCACTTTTTACCCAAGAGGAACACCCTAACGAGTGAATCCAGCGAGAACCTTTTGCCCAGCACGAAAACCCCAAGGAGTGAATCCAGCGAGAACCCCTTTACCCAAGACGAAACCCTTAAATGAATCTTGTGTGACGGTTCTGGTTTGGTGCGGAATGCAGCAAAAAAATGTGATTTGGTGCTAAATACACCGCAAAAGCTGGAAAGTTACCTTTAAGAGAAGAATGTCACAGCTAATTGTTCTACCTTCGTCCAGTTCGTGAGCGCAGCAGAAAGCTTTAGATATCGCGATTTTTGCCGTCAGAGGACGCGGCCGGCCGGGACTGTCCAGGCACGCCACAACGGGGGCTCCTATCCGTCTATGGTATTGGTTGGGAACTCCATGTAACTCAATGTTTGTTTACATAGCTTCTGCCTGCTGATACCGAGTCAGTGTGCCGTCATTCCCGTCATCACCGTGTGTAAGGTCTGGCATAGCCGGAGAGGCAAGCATCGTGACTGATCTCAGGCAGGAATCGGGACTAGATATAACAAGTGGCTGCTAGCAGGGAACAGGTGGTGTCAGCAGCGCTGGCTGCCAGACTCGACCGTTGCTTGTTGGATTCCTGCCTCCAGCTGTGTGTGTGTGTGTGTTATCATGGATGCCAGTGGAACATGTTGTCGTGCGGAAGTTAAGCTGTCTTAAGGCCGGATGCTAGTAAGCTTGCAGTAACAGAGATTGCACGTTTACAGCGAGACCTGTGCCACCCACACGTCTTCTTGACGTTCCGTGTGAGGCGCTCAGCGATTGCAGGCAACTGGGACGAGGCAGCCAAAACCGGTGGTGGCACACGTGTTGGCACGTTGTCTTTCTAAAGCCTGATAGTTCTAATCTTATGAGAACCAACCCCTTTGAAATTACTGGACCCGTCTCAGTTTGGAGAATGCAAACAAAATGCGTTTGGCACTGGCATTTATTTTGTGGCAGGGCCGGGCCAGGGGGCCAGTTCCAGGTTGCATTTTCGGGCCAGGGGTTCCATCAGACATGCGCGAAACATGCAAAAACGTGCGAACCAGGCAAACCGCATGCGACAAACTGAACACAACGCAAAAAAGCCCGACGTGAACACGCACCGGAAATCCGCGAGGTTTAGCAGTTCCGGAAAACATTTCGCCTCTTCGAATTTGCTTTTTGGGTATGTTTTTGCATACTTTGGATTTGAGTATTTGGAGGAACTGGGGATCATAAGCCTAGTATGTGTGCAGAGAACCCACCGGTGACCAGCCCGCAAGTGCTGGCATGACATCATGGTTGATACCGCTTCCTATTCTTGAGGTGTGCGGGAGTTTGCAGCTTGAATTAGTGCACAATGCTGAGGCATCTTGCTAGCAGCAGTGCAGCATTATAGAACATGTTCCACCTGATCAGACTACTAGTAATGCGGCATGTTCAAACAACGTTCCGACGCGCTGTTCACGCGCGCCGTTCGAAGCTTGAAGTAGTAGTTCAAGCAGAATAATGTGGCAAACGCAGTACTTTCAGGCTTTAGAGCTTTGGGCAGTGAACAACTCTGAAGCACGGAAACTACAGAAAAAAATGTCGTAAATGCGCTGCGGCTTAGGTTTTGGACACATCTAGGTGGTTCATTAAGGGCTTTTACTGAGGAAGCCTCTCCCTCGCACATGTTTTGCCTGCCAGAACTCAGAGCTTCAGTTGCAGGGTCGAGAAACTCGTGAGGGCTGTGCCCCAGCTCGTGCACACGATCCCATGGATGCTCTGCGTGAACGGATGGAGTTTGTGGGAACGGTTGGCCCATGGAGGCTCTGTGGGAATAGGCGGAAATTGATCCGGACAACGGCAGGCGCGACGTTTTCGACACAGCAAGTCCGCCAACTACCGTAAATACCGGCCTTGACGCCCGCGCTTCGGCCCCCAGAAAACGCGAGAGGCGGAGCGTTTTCAGCTGCTAAGTTCACGAAACACTGTAAATACCGATGCGGTCGTCCTGTGCGCGGCGCGCGTGAACAGCACGTCGGAGCCTCAAACGAAGGAGCCCTCGGACTTGAAGGCTTGTCGATGCGGCAGCCTCATACTGCCGTGATCGCAGTGGGGAGTCGCAGGCGCTGGGAGTGGTCCGCCGGCTCGCAGAAGAGCCGCCGAGCACGGTGGGGGAGGCGGCCGTCCGGTGCTCGGCGAGGAGATGTGAGTGAGCAAGGGAAAGGAGAGAAAGGGAACGTCGCTTCACCAGAGGCTGCTCTCCGGGTCTCGCTACTGGAGCAGCCGCCTGTCTGCACCTGGATTATCGATTCTCACTCCCTGGTATTTATCAGGACCCATGTTCGCTGCGTATCAGATATTGCCAGGAAGTGCTTGGACCTTCACCGTAGCGGGGAAGTGGAGGCCGGCAGGGTTCAGATCGTTTCTGAGGCAGAGTGGCGAGGGCCCGCACGTGGTGAAAAGTGCCTGTAAGTGGATATCTAGCTGATCTGGTTCGTACACAGAGGAAAACATTCATAATTCAAAGAAGTGCGACTTTTCTACCCTTGTGGCAAAACACAGTCTCCTTGCCCTGCGGAGGCCGCGAAGGAGGTCTTTGCGGAGATCGCTGGCACAGCCGGGGTCCCTGTCCTCTTGTAGTAAGATGTCAGGTGAGAGAAATGTGGCATGAAGTGTGGCAATCTTGGATCCGAGGATGGGGCAGAAGATCTATCGCAGCAGTTGGACCTTTCTCCGCAGGACGGGTTACTCGCAGTGCCAATCGGGTTGTTCACAGGATCCGTGTTTTGTCGTTTACCTGCACTGCACTAATTGTTGTTCTTGATGCCGTGCCTTGGTTCGGTCACATGCTGTGAAGCGCAAATCAAAGGGGGGGGAAGGGGTGGGGGGGCCCGCCAATTACATCCCGGCGACGCAGGCATGTCCACTACCGAAGTTGTGCTACTCCCGAGAAGCCTCAGCCTGGATCCCGGAAGCTTTTAGCACAAAAGAAACCCAGCCTGGATCCAGAGGAAGCATCTCAAGCAGATCCCGACCATCCAAGTGGAATGGTCCAACAATCTCCCGCACTACTCTGTGTACTCTGTGCAGCATTCAGTCCAGTACATGGATTTTGCTTTTACTTTTCGTTCTTCGGCTTTTGACTGTCCTTTCTCCTTGCCTTGCCAGTTTGCTTTTGGGCTTTCGCAGCTTCTTGGCTTCCCCTCCAGGCTTCTCGGCTTTTATCCATGGCAGTAGTGGAAGTGATGATAACAGTAAGACCCTTTACCCTCGCTGACATGATATTGAAGGGTTATGTCTTTTGTTCCGTCATCGTTTGGCAGTCTTTCACTATCTTTCACTGGCAGATTTGCATGGAGATGAGGGCGGCTTGCGCCGCATCCCCCCAATTCCCACAAGCCAAGCCAAAGCTCCTTGAAACCCACTGTAGACTCGCCAAGAAAGGGAAACGATGGGAAACGGCCAACAAACATCCGAGACAATTTTGTTAACATCCAAGCAATGAGACTTCCGGGGCGCTTTACTCAAGCCATCATGCTAGAGAGAATTAGACCTTCCGTGGGCCTTGCATGATGGCACGGTCACACACAGTCACCAGCGTGGCGAATGTAGCAGTGCAGAACGGCAGCACGAGCTGACCTAGAGGAATGCAAGGGCCAAAACGGCAAGGAGCATCAAGCAAACGATATCAGCTACGGAGGTGCGCGAGATGGTCGCCAAAGGACACCTGTAACTGACACCAAATCGGCAAACAAACGAAAGCGGATGACATGCACATGACACACCAGAAGACCATCCGTAAATGCAAGGGCGTGCACTCGACTCTTCCACCAGTTTCGTAAAGAGGCCCAGGCAAGTGATGTTGCAAACAGCAGATGCACAGCAAGCAGTTGTCGGAGATGACAGCGCAAGGCAGGCACAGAAGAATACCGATCGACAGGAACAGCTGCGAAGGCACAAAACAAGCCAAAGGTTTCGGTGTTCACCTGCGACAGCTCCTGAGCCTAAGCCCTGAGCTTGTCGAAGTCTCGCGCCGTTCCAGGAGCTTGCAGACTCCTCACCGTCTCGTGGCGACGTTGCGGATCGACTGGCCAGATGCTGAGCATGGGCAGCGGCCACACCTGGGATTCTTCGCGGTGACATCCTCGGAAGGTGGAGCTGCTGCCCCCGGACTTGGCTCTGCCCCCGCGCCGCCTCTGTGCGCTGCTGTGGCAAGCGGTCAGGCGCGCTCCGCAAATGACGCCGGCAGAGCAAGTGTCACCTGGCGTCGTGCTCTGCGCTTCAAACCGCATGGCTCGGCGGCTGAGAAGTTGTGGCGATCTGCGAATGAGATGATGGTTGTGCTGCTCTGGCTGGCATTACCTGGAAAGGTATCAGCAGCTTCACTGCCTCTACACTGATCTCGATCCGAACCTCATGTGGCGCCCTCAGCCACCGGCAAACATCGGCAAAGGCGACGAAAACCGGTGGAAGATTCGAAGGGCTACACTCCTAAGACTTAAGAGTCCTTAAGGGAGTCCAAGAAGACAGAGCCATTCGCCCATTCGCCCCATAGTTGCCGGCCCGTCCAGGCCGGGTGGCCGGAAGCAGAGCTTTCAGATTTTCAGATCTCTCCTCTGTCTGAGGGGCATCTTTTGGGTCGTGTGCGGAATCCTCTTCGGTTCAGGTCGCCCTAAGTCGAAGCCCCACATAGCCAGCCGAAGTCCCGTCAGGGCAGCTGCACTCACCAGATATCTGCGACTGGCCAGTTGGAACATGAATTCGCGCCTGAGGTATCAGCAGCTACACTGCTTGTCCACCGACATGGACCCGACGCTGCTGCAGGGCACTCAAGCAACCTTCACGTCGTGGTCTGCGGGCTGCATACGCATGGAAAGGCTGGTGCGCTTTCTCAGGTCTTCCGGACCGAACCTGCTCAAGGACTACAGATACACCGCGTGCCCCCCTTAAAAGGACAAGAGATGCAGTTTTGACAGCTCTTTGCAGCCTTGGCCCAGGCCGGCTCTGCCCATCCACTGCGTTGCAAGGCTCTGGAGCACTAGAGAAAATCACTCCAATCCAAGACCCCGCTTGGATCCTGTAATGCTTTCGGCCTGTGAGGCTCAACCATCATCGAGACGAGGTTTGGTTTGCGGTCGTCACAGACGACGGCCGCTACCTAGCGTCTTCGTCGAAGGCCCTCACGATGAGCCAACTTTTGCAGACGTACTCTGTTGGGAACACACGTAGAATTATGTCCCAGGGTTATCTGTTGCACAAGTTGGGCTCATCGAAAAGGGGCCCAAGCAGTATGTGAAGTGAGAGTTGTGTCTTCAATTGGCGGCACCGAGATTTCCTCCGGCTTCCTGGTTTGAATCTCGGACTTGAGTTGCTTGTGAGTCTCGGGGATCCGGCTATGTTTAGGCCTGACATCGATTTTCTGACCGTAGGAATTGTGGTCACCTGTCGCTTCCTCCAGCAGTAGCACTCTCGATTACTTTTCTTGAGAGTGTGAGACGATGTTGCAAATCGCTGCGTTGGAAGGATGAGAGCATCATCGTTTGGGAGTGCACTGCTGGGCCTTCATTTTCAGTCCGGGCCCCCGAGTGCGAGACTCTAGCATGGCAGTGGGCGAGGTCCTTGGCTGCTTCAAGATGTTTCTAATCCCTTCCGCAAGCGCTTCTCTCAAGCTACTCCACGTGCATCCACGTGCCACCGCGCACGTCGGCAACCTGCAGGATACCCTTTGCCAGTGATGCACGCTGCCTTGAGCATGCTGCCGAGTTTCATTCAGGATGTGGCTATGATTGTGACAACTTCCACAGCTTTTTCATTGGCAATGCTTGAACCTGCATGAACGGCTCGACATGCTGCGAAAGAAGCTTCTCTTCGGGTCTCAAGCCTTTGGGAGTGTTGACTCTCTCTCGGATTGCTTTCCCGACCAGGCTCTGGAGCTTCCAAGATTTCCAAGAGACCCTACCATACGACTGCTAATCCGGCTTTCCACAAAAGACCAGACACGAGCTGTGCCCGGAGGAGGCCATGAAGCGGAGCGGTGCGGTGAGGGGCATGCTGGGCTTGATTTCACGGCAACTGGGCCACAAAGCCGTGCCGGTGCAACCCGTCGCTCCGACTGCAATCAATCGGGCAGTGTCTCCGTGGGTTAGGGCCGGTTAGGGTGTGTAGTAGACTTGATAGTTACCTTGCCCGCTCGCAACAATGTTTGCGTCTGCCAGTGGCTCGAACATGTAAGGCAATGAAATACCGGATTGCCATAATTGGTGGAGGCTGCTTGTCCGCACGGTTAAGCAGGGAGGAAGCAAGATGCTTCGTGAGGGCTGCGGCCCCAACCGGTGATAAAGAACGACTGTCATGCTATGTTTGGGCTGATGCGTCAAAGGTTCCTCAGGCGTTTCCGTACCCTGGCAGCAGCTCGAGGACTTTTCCCTTGGAAATGATTCTCACTGAGTTCTCAGGTGGCTTCACAGCTCTGCAGAAAGCTGCCGAAGAGCATCTTGGTTCAGGAAGGAGAGAAGCAAAAAAAGCCTGTCAGAATGTCGTGTTGCTTTGGAGCATCCTGCTACTGCTCCTACAATGCTGCAAGGTGAACACAGCGGCATCGCGGTCATCGAGCCCAGGGACACCTCGCCGGCTAGGATGTTCTCTTCATGTCATGATTGCCTGGCTTGACCAGAAAAGCACCTGAAGAGGCCCTTGAGGAACCCACAGCACAGTCAAAAAGAGGCTCACTCAGGGGCATGTAAGCTTGGGGTGTCAGGATCAGCACCTGTACATGCCCTACTGGACGATGGTAGGTGGATTGGGACTAGATGCTCTTTGGCCTGACGTGTGCCTGTAGCTGTAGCATCCTGTAGCTTGACGTTGGGAGTTAGGTCCAGAACTCCGCACGACCGATGGAGCAGGCAGGGCCGGAAGTTTAAGGTTGGGGGGGCTGTCAGTTGAGACTCGCGTTTCGCTTGCACTGCATGGCCAGGTGATGCCTCACCACGTGCAGTGGATCAAGGAGAAGTTAAACGAGCTTTCTTCCACGTGTATCGCCTGATTACAGCACTTCCTTTCAGTTGGTTTCTGCTTTGAGGTCTGCAAGAGTGCTCAGGTCCCCTAAGTTTGTGCCTGCAGGAGAAGTGCCTGACCTTCCAGCCAGAGCAGAACAAGTTGACCCTGGCGAGCGGCCAGCAGATCGCTCCTCGGATTCTGAACCATAGAGAACCAGCCCATCCTTGCAGGCTGCAGTCGGCTGCACAGTTGCGACATGTTGCGACCGTTTCGCATGCCGACGCATCAGCAAGTATCTGGGAAACGCCGAAGAAGTGCCCAATCACCACTCCGAGATGATGTTTAGTTGAGAGGCACAGAGTTATCAGGCATCGACAGCCCATACCGATACCCAAACTAGCTTAGCACGGCGTGAGGAGTACGATATCCTGGTCGTGGCTGCCGGCCTGCAGCAGAACTTTGGAGCCGTGACAGGTCCGAGACTGCGCTCATGAGCCCAGTCTAAAGAGCTCGTTCACGGCCTGGGCAGGACTCCCGGAAACCATGGGAAAGAATGGCGTGCCTGGACTGTAGATCGTCATCTGTTTGCTGCACCTCCTCCAGAGTGAGCAGGGTCGACAACCCAAGGTTGCCTCAATCTACTCCTTTGATTACTCGCCAAGTGTTTGGGCCAACATCCAGAACATGCAGAAAGGCACCCACTCTTGTGTCTTCAGTGGTCGTGATTGTTTAATGCAGGCAAAGCTTTCCTGAGCGTACAATCGTCGCGCCCGTCTCAAACTGTTGTATAGCAGCTTCTTTTCCAAAGCAAAGTGTTGCGGACAGACTAACCTGCAAGTGCACCCGTGCGAGGGAAAGCCATCTTCACCAACCCGGGCACAGCCGTCAACTGTGGTGGAGCACCACAGAAGAAGCCAAGACAGCAAGCAGATTTCACCAACTCACAGCCGACCCAGAACTGAAACTGACTTCAGGATTTGCTACCTGGCCGAAGCGGCATGGCGTCAACGAGGACGCATTGGCCTTGGATCTGGGATCAGCCTCCGGTTTGGGGGCATGTCAGGAGTTCGTGACAACATCGAGATTGAGTTCTGCACGGCAACCCCAGGCACGTGTGGCTGCATAATGCTGGGTGGGCAAAAGTGATTTACTTGACAATGGTTGTTTCCGTTGTCTCTAAGGCATCTTCGCTTGCCCTGAGTATCGGGTAGCCTTGGAGAAGGTCATGAAGTCAAAGAGAACCCTGGCCTGGAATTCGGCCCTTCGTGGAAGATGTCAGCTGAGGGATGGTTTGAGGGCACTAGCTTTCAGCCGGCACGAGGAATAACTACTGCAAGATAGAAATGTGGCTTTGCATCATCCAAGACATCACCCCGCATGTCAAGACGAATCTCGTGGAAGTCGATGGGGAGAGGCCAGGCTCTTTAGACAGGATCTCCAGCCAACTCTACGCTTCTTGTGCATCCAGAGATCCAGCCTTCCGGTGTACCTGACAGGAAGATCGCGACCTTTGAAAAGGAAGGCAGGTCGAAGAAGCTGCTCCGCCCCTCGCAAGTACGCCTCGCGACAGGTGGTGAATTGCTTACGAAAGAGTTCGACTTTCTCCATGTCACGCCCCCCATGAGTTCACCAGACTTCATCAGGAGCGTACAGGACTTGCTTGCCTTCCTCCGAGCTTCACTGCAGTGCGATTTCAATGCAGGAATAGCCCCCTCGCAAATGCGGCCGGATTCGTCGATGTGGACAAGGAAATCATCTTGGGGATTCTGTCTTGTGTTGTGATTAGGTGCCGGTGCCAGAAGTGTGCTGCGCAGTCCCTTCAGGAGACTTGCCAGCACAACAAGTTCTCCAATGTCTTCTCCCTCGGCGACTGCTCCTCGCTCCCGACCTCGAAGCCGCTTGGAATCAAGATCGAGACGTTGCGAAGGGTGCCTTCGACCTCAACTCTCCCTTCGAGTTTTTCTCAGGACGTACTCGGCCATCTCATCCCAGGCCCCAGTCGTCACCTACAACGCCGCTCGGAACGTGCAGAGCAGTGCAGAGCAGTGCAGAGCAGTGCAGAGCAGTGCAGAGCAGTGCAGAGCAGTGCAGAGCAGTGCAGAGCAGTGCAGAGTGCAGAGAGAGGACCGGAGGAGGCTCTGTGAGTCCTGTGGGCCCAGGTGCAGGCTCTGCTGTCCGGCAGAGAGGCCACTTCCACCGACGATGGCTACACAGCATGTCCCGTGCTTCTGGGGGCCGCTTGGCTGACAGTGACTGCGCTTCGCGCTTGAGTTAAGCCAACTTGGGAGTCATGAGTGTGAAATGGCAAGCCGCAGATGCGACTTGGCAGAGCTAGGACAGCAAACTGCTGCTCGCGGAGTTCAACGGCTACACGATGGAGTCTTGCGATGCAAGCAGTGTCGGTTCGGAAGTGGCTTCTGAGCACAAAGAACGGCATGTGCCGAGCCAACTTGCGCGGAGCTTTGACGCTTGCTGCCGAGGAAGCCACTCCCACTTTCGTTCCGCTGGACCAGACAAAGCCCAACACTTTGTTTTATTGGTTGATGCTCGGCTTATGTTGAGGTAGGGCAGGCAGGGGAGACTCGCGGGGCAGAATCTTCTGAATCAATATCGCTCCGAGGAAGCGGTACGTCTTCGAGCACGTCTACTGGCATTCTATGCCTCTGGGACGATGGCACCTCAACTGCTAACTGGCCGTCCAGAGAAATGGATTGCTCTAAGAGCTTGTGTATGCGCATGGGGATGGCATAGCATGCACAGCCATAGCTTGCGAGGTACGGCAAGTACATGTGGTTTGAGCCGTCCGTGAAGCACAAGGCCAAGGCTGGGAGAGGCGTCTCTTATAGTCTCAGTCTTAGTCTTAGTTCCTTCCTTTTGACGTCAATCCCCAGGCCGCCAAGCCGATTGCCTTCAAGGCCTACAGTGGGGCTGTAGGGACACACGCTAGTAGGGTTGACTTCTGAGCGGTGTCGTACGCAAGATCCCGGTTTCAAACTCTGCATGGTGTTGTAGCATTCTTACGGTCAGGGTGTCGCCGGAGTGGTGAGTCTGCTGTGTCATCGTCAGTTCTGCGACAGATCAGCAGCTGATGATTTATTAGCTTATGCATGTAAGAAGTCGATGCCCGCTAAACGTGGTCAGTTCTGATTCCCTTGCATTGCCTGCGTGAACCTGCGTGAACATTTCGAACCTTCCTGCCGGTCTGTGGTTGGAGGCAGCGCCGCCGTCTGAAACCGCTGCACTGAAGGCGGAAGAATTTGCAAAGCTGCTTGTGAAGCATCATGCCACTGGATGTTGGCTGTAACAGTTGATGCCTTGAAGCGCACTTGCACGGCCAAAGCAGCTCGTAGTTGTCTGCTTATGCATACTAGAACGACCTTGCGGAGGCTTCCGTGCCCATAGCCGGCGCAGGCCAGGCAAGCGAGTCGTGTCAGCAGCTCCAGCAGTGGTTCGAGAACTCGGGAAGTAGGAAAGCTCAACGCAAGCGGGTCGTCTGTTCTATTCCGGCTCTTGGGCCCCTCCGTTCAGGTGAGGCCGCGACCCAGGGCGCTGCTGCCATGACCGACAGCAGCATGGCTAGAGGGAGGAGGTGAAATCATCTGGTCGAGTTTACTTCGAGCGAGTCGGTGCTACTCATCAGACTCCCATTCAGCTGGAAACAAGGCCTCAAGCCTGAGCTCTTCGGTGTGAGCACGCCAAACATCCCGGGGGACGTCAGCCTGTCAGGCGTGGAAGGGGGTTTCGAGTTTCGACGGATTCCCTTCATCCTGCAGCCGCGCCTGTTGCACAGCTGTTTGGATGTGCTCGGGCAGGAAACCTCGACGTGGCGATCATCAATCAGCTTGCTCCACGTTACAAAGGTTGGCTCTACCTCAACCCAGCAGTGTCTCGGAGAATGTCCTGAAAGCGGGTCGATTCCGAAGATTTAGCACAGAAGCAAAGGAGAACAAGCACTTCCACAAGAAGGAGATCGAAGCTGCGGGGTGCCAGGTTGGGGGGCAGACAGATTCAGACGACTCAGTTACAGTTAAAGCATCCACGGGCGCAGGTGGAGGTGGCGCCCATTCCCAATCCTAGCAGCCAAAAAGCCACAGCAGAGCATGCGGCATCAGTGCCCTGGCGAAGTCGAAGCAAATCTATATAGGTGCTTGTAGGGTGCCCGTGGCGAGGTCCTGGCGGCCATGGACCGGCTCCCGAGGCCCCTGCCAGGGCCCGAGAACACGCCGCTCCTTTTCGCTGCTTCGCCCTTGGAGTTCGAGTTCGCTTGGCTGAGGATGGTTCAGTGCACCTCGGGCAACCGTGCCGGTGCCGCGCTGCTGCTGGCGCAGGCTAGGGTTGAGAGGCTGAAGCGAGGATCCCGACGCACCACTTTGGCTTGCAAAGGCGAAAGCGCTGGGGCACAACAGGCTCAGCCCGCACGCGTCGGTTAAAAATGAGGTCGATGAGACGAGACACACCCCTCGAAACGTCCCATCTCTCTGCTCGGTGTGTGACGCAGGGCATCCGCCTCTCTTTTGGCGGAGGACTTAGACCTCAAGTTCTGGACGAAGTGCTCCGAGCATCTTGCCTTCTTAGATCTGCAATTCCCTCGTAGGCCGCAGGCCGTAGGTTGCCCAGAATCTCCGTAGCTCGGGAGATGGCTGATGCATCAATTCTGCATCTGACACCATCCGATGAAATTCAGAGGTGCGGGCCCATCAAGGACTGGGTGCTCGACCAGCTGCCCGCACCCAACGAGGAGGCCTGCAACGAGAAGTCGCACTCGACTTGATCGTGCTCCACGGGCCAGGGGCAGCACACCACTGCACCCACGAAGTCAGCAGTCATTGAGCAGCTTTTTGACCACAAGGCCCTTGAAGCGCTCGGGGCTTGGGCTGAGTGCATGGCGCTGATTTGCCAGGGCAGCTCTACGTTCTCTTACCTCGTCGGCTGTGCGCACAGCCAGGAGGCGGTGTTGATCGACCCAGATCCTTGGCAAGTTCCGAGATAGATCTTCATGATCTGGTGAAAGCTCAACTCAATTCACTCTGCTCTGCTCCTTCGAATCAGGTTCTGGGCATGGAGACCCGGGATCTAGGCCTGGCGGAGGAGCTGGGCTTCAAGGCGAGGGGCCGAGAGCGAAGTGGAGCACTTTCGGGCCGCCCTTGTCTCCATCCCGCTCCTGCGCTCTCTTGTGAGGTGAAGTACGTTGTGAACACCCATTGCCATGCAGGCGGGGCTTGCGGGCCCTGCGGCCCTGGCAGTGTCGTGCGTGTCCTTTGGTCTGCTCGCAGATCACATCACCTCCGGTGGTGCCATCAAGAAGCTCCATCCAGAGGCTTTGCCAGGGGCGGTTTCGAGGGCTTTTTGAAGGGGTGCGATGCTTCTTTCCCTTGAAACAGGTGAAGACCATGATCTCGGAAGCCTCTGGCGCTGCCGCGGATATCAAGCTGAAGGAGCCACGTCTCACCGCCTCCCTGCGACATGAACCGATGTTGTGTTGCATTGTCACGTGTCTTGCCGCTCGGAGGATGGCGACAAGATCGAGTTTGGCGAGTATGCCGCTTGTCGAGCAGTGTGTCAGCAGGGAGGAGGGAGATGAAGGGAGGCAGCATAAAGGCTCAGAAAGGCTTTCGTCTTGCGATCGCAGGCCCTCGAGGCCCTGGCCACGCCGGGACACACAGACGGTTGCACCTAGGCGACACTCAGATTCCGAAGGGGCGGGGGGGGGGGGGGGCAGAAGATTCCAATTCCACCATCCAACCTTAACAATCGGCCATGTGCTTTCTCAGCTAAGGCATGTGTTTTGTGCTGCTCGGCCCAGATGCGCCCAAGGCAGTCTTCACCGGCGATGGCCCCAGAAGCTGCAACTGCTCGGCTTTAACTTCTGGTCAAGTCTTGCGTGCACCGGCGTGAGGTGATACCTTGCTGATTCGGGGCTGCGGCAGAACCGACTTCCAGCAGGCGGGGGAGTGCGACCAACTTGCTGCCCACGAAGAGAGGAGCTGGTCCCGGGTCCCCTGTGAGCCCCGCCTGGCAAGGGCGATGCTGCGCGACTCTACGACATGGTTCACCAGAAGATCTTTACCCTGCCCGAGGACACGAAGATCTATCCAGGTGCATTTTCTCTCAACTACGGTATAAGTACAAGTTACTGAAAAAAGTTGCTTTGCTTCGAGCATGTATCCCGCCATAAGTTGATGAGGTTGGAAGCATGCAAGTGTCTCCGGAATCGATCTAGCAACTTGAGCTGTGCCGTCCTCAACTTGAAAGCGGGTCCAGCTGCCTGCAGGTCACGACTACAAAGGGAGCACCTTGGCATCGTCAGCGGTGCCACTTCGATAAAAGTTCCACTTTCGTCATGGATACGACGGGATGTATGTTTCAGAAAAAGCAAGCTGAGCGGCGTTGAAGTCGACAGGAAACGTATCAACCGTGGCAGAAGAGAAGAAGTTCAATCCTCGGCTGACGCAGAACAAGGCGTGACAGCACCTGTTGTCACTGTCAAGTCAAGACACGCTGAGATGAGCTGGAGACCGACGTTGGCACCAGCTGTGCAGGAAGAGTTTATCAAGACCATGAAGGACCTCAATCTGCCGTACCCGAAGATGATGGACGTGGCTCTCCATGCAGCTTGAGCAGTTAGGCTTAGATCGAACCTCGGAACAGTTCTATTTAGGTCGGGTTTCAAAGCCCTCAGGAAGCTGTCCCGGCCAACCTCGTCTGCGGCGCTTGAAAACGGGCCCCCCAGCCGACCGCGCACTCTACCGGGTGGACGCCGGGCCCAGCCGGGGCTTCCAGGGGCCAAGGCATCTCCTCGCTCCTTAAGCTCTTAGGCTCTCATGCTCTCAGACGTCTCGTGTTTCGTGTCTTCTTTGGGTTTGCGAGACGCCCCTCGCGCAGCAGCGGGCTTGGCTCCAGTGGATCACTGCCTCTTGGAAGCGGAGGAGAAGGCAAAGTGTGGGGCATTCGATGGGGCCCTGCTACTCCGTACTTGAGTCCTCTTTCGTGCATCAGGAGAGAATCGATTCGGAGGGGCCAACGACCCCGCACCTCTCGGCCCTGACTGAAGGGACCAGAGACTGAGAATCTGCAGGCACTTCTCCCAGACACATGCAGTTGCATACCGCATTCTTAGCCTGCTAAGCATGAAGGGTAAGCAGATTCTCAGGTTCCAGCCTGTGCTATCTTGACAGGTTTCTCATGTCCAGGAACATCGGGCATGCTTTTGTGCAGACCGACTCTAACTAACCAGTCGCAGTGCTGCGCAGCTTCTCATGGAAATAAACAGCTGGAGTGAGTCGGGGAGTCTGCGACGGTTTTGGGCCGTTTGAAGCTCGCTCTTCACAACGGCTTTCAAAGGGCAGAGTGAATACAGCCTGCTCTCAGAGTGGTCAGTCAGGCCTTTCAATCCGAAATCGTCCAGCTCATGAGGTCGAGCTGGCTTGAACAATGTAGGACACTGACTGAGCACTTGCAGCTGCTGCCTCTAGCGCTGCCACCACCGTTGACTTGAAGCGCGTCCCTCAAAGTCAAAGCGGCTGGAAATGGCTGATTCACTGGAACGAGCTGCAAAGGGTAACCACATTTTCGAGCACGTTTAGGCAAGCAGACTCTGGCATAGCATTTCGTGTTCAGTTGCACGCCTCCTATCAAGTGGTCCAGCTATGTTCAGCTCAGGTGACGGAGGTGTTGATCGGCCACAGCGCGCCGGCTCCTCAGGTTTAGCCAGAAGTGGGAGCAGATGCAAGCTCTTCGGGAGGGGGAATCTGGGGTCAGCCGACAGCTGAGCGACCTCTAGCTGAAAAGCGTGGTCTGACGAGTGTGCCATCGCGCACGGTAGTTGTGCTGGGCTTTCTGTGAGCTTGCACAAGGCCTTGTGCTGCCCTGGCCTGGAGCCCCGACGGTCGGCGGCTCCTTTCTGCATCCAGCGACGGCGGGGGCGGGGGGCAGCCAAGAGTTAAGGGCCTTCAGGGGGCTGCAGAATGCGTCAGAATGCGCCTGATCTCAGTCGTCGGCCCTGGCAGGTACGGTGAGGCTTTGGACTCTTCCAGGCAACCCGCAGCGCGCGAGGCGATGGGTGGGAGCGCAACTTTTGGCCCTTGCAGGCGCCGTGGAGCCGGAGATCTTCGCGAGACATACAGACTCCGTGTCTGCTGCGGGGAAGCCCACCATCCAAGAGAACGGGCACACGAGTCGCGCGTGGCGGGAGTTCGAATCATTGGACGAAGTGCTGGCGAGTTGAGGTGGCCTGGCTCCCCGATGGTGAGCACTTCCTGTCAGCAGGATTTGA